CAATCCCTTAATGTCGACCAACCGACAGCCGACTTAATAAATTTTATGTCTACTAATGCTTATAGGCAAGCTCACCGCAGCTTGTTTTTGCTGATTTTGCACAAGTCAAATAAAACACTTTCATAGAATGAATAATGTCATTTTTGAAAATGACGGTATAAACATGAACAATTTAACACACAAAAGGGGGATCAGATTCACAAGCTTTGATTATCAGTTACGTAAAATATGATACTGTCTGAACCCCCAATGGCTAGAAAAAAGAATTTGTAAAACCTAACAATCAAAACATCATAAGAAAAAAGTTAGTAAAAAGATGGCACATCAAAACAAATTGGATTAGAACTAATATATACATTAACCATATTGAATGCTGGGGTAGACGTGCCTCGTGTAAACGGTGGTATCAAAATACAACTGAATAGTCTCCCGCGTGACGCAGTGGTTAGAGCGTCTGCTCTAGAGTCGCGGAGTAAGAGTTTGATCCACACGTCGCGGGTTCGAATCCCACTGTGGGACGTGGAGACCGGTCCTTCGGATGAGACCGTATAAACCGAGGTTCCGTGTCGCAGTAGTTGCAGGTACGAAAAAGATCCCTCACTCCTCAATGGCCCTAAGTGCCAAGTATAAGTCAAAATTTGTAGCTCTCCACCGGCAAGTGGTACGGCGGTGTCTCCATATGAGTGAAAAATTCTCGAGATGGACGTTAAACAACACACAAACAAACAAATAACTGAATGACTCGCAAAGCTGGCCATGTGATCTTACACCATCCTTGGCTAGGAGCTATTTTTACATCAGCCAAGGCGTGGATTTAAGAATTTTCCCAATTAACAGGCATAAAATCCCACTAGAAAGCTGTAAATAAATTACCGCATTAAATACATAAACACAATTATTATTCAAATAATTGTTGTTATATGACTTCTAATGCTTATAGGCAAGCTCACTGCAGCTTGATTTTGCTAATTTTGCACAAGTCAAATAAAACACTTTCATTGAGATAAATAATGTCTTTTATTAATATGACGGTATACACAAAAACAATTTAACACACAAAAGGGGGATTAGATTACAAGCTTTGATTATCGGTCACGTAAAATATGATAATTCCTGATCCCCCAAAATTGGCTAGAAAAAAGATCCTGTAAAACTGACAATCAAAACATCACAAGAAAAAGTTCGCAAAAAGATGGCACATCAAATTAAACAAAATAGGCCACCAGATGTGACATGCGAGTCACATCCCTGGAAACTGCCTGCCGATGGTCGGACGTACTATCCAATGACTGTTTCAAATGAAGGAATTGGCCGCCGACATTAAAAAAAAACTATAACCTGGCCCGACGGACACAAAATTGGTCGGCGGACAAAAAAGAGGTCATAGTCGGGCGAGACAACGCCTGATGAACTGCTGACTGCCGCCCGAAGAATCCTATTTTTGCCTCAAAAAACGTCGACCGTTGGTCTGTTTTGAAAGTGTTACAGGGGATTTAGACAGCTGCTTTTTCAATAAAATGGAACTCGTATGTAAACATACCTTATCATTGGTCATCTGCAAATTATTTTTTAAAATCATTCTGATTGTACACATAAGTACCTAGAAGTTGATTTTAAAAGATGCTTGAGTTTTTGAATGACAATATTTATGTAATTTTTGGAAATCAAGTCTTCAAAAATCTGTCAGAATTTTCATGGTTACGTTATGACCTATATTTGTTACACATGAAGCAGAATTTAATATTTCAAAAACTTTTGCTTCAACATTAAGATATCGACGACGTTTTATCAATAAACAATATCTACTTTCATCCGTACGTTGATTCCATATATATGTATCCCCTTGAACTCGAAATAAAGACACTACAAAGTCTGGCACATCTGTTTCACATTTGGATATTATAATAGAAGAGATATTATGGCAAACTAATAACAAAACTTTATGATAAACGTGATGACTTCACATTTTCTATCGTCAACTATTTATGTTATAATATGTGTATATCATTATCACTTGTATATAGAGTTTATGTCTCCCAGTTGATTCGATACTACGCAAGGGCATGCTCTACGTACGAACAATTTCTTAACGAGGCTAGCTATTGACAAATAAGTTGATGGTACAAGGATATCGACAGTCTCGTTTAAAGTCAACATTTCGAAAATTTTATGGTCGATACAATAATCTTGTTAACGAGTTCAATCTTTCGATAACTTGAATGTTGACTGACGTACGTTTATCATACAAATTCTAAGATCATTATTATCACATTGAATTGTCTACGGATTTTTTCGTTTACTCGATCAAGACCAGGAGCACACGGTGGGTGTGATGGTCGCTAGGGGATACTTACTTCTCCATAGCACCTGATCCATCTGTGTGGTTTTTGGAGGTCCGTGTTTGCTCTGCTCACAATTTATATTGTTTCAATGGACTTTTGAGCTTGATAATTGCTCGTCATCTTCATTGATAAAGCAATCTCTTTATGAGATAAAAAGGTGTCTTATTACAGGTGGTTTTTAAAAATGTTTTTTAATACATATAAATGTAATTGTTATGTCAAAGGTAAAACAAGTAAAAGTGACACCAGTTTTATTTGCTTTCATGCTTTACTAAGAAGCATTTTTAAAGTACTTCTGTCAATTTGAGACAAGGACTAACATGGCCCGATTCAGGCATTTTACAAAATATTTAATACATTTAGTAAATACCAAGTTCGATAGAAGCATTGGGACTTCGTTCATTCTATATGGTATTTTTTAAAAACTGTTTTGCTTTACAATTTTTTGAAAGATAGCCTGCAGATTGATTGCTTTAAAAAAACATGTACTAAATTAGGCACGTTTACAAAAAATGAATTTTATTTGATACTTCTAAGTATATCTTAACTATTTTAAGCAATTATTATCAGAGATCTTTGTTAGATTTAAATTAAAAAAATCTATTTCCAAATCAAGTACAAGATTTGTTTGAAATAAATATATATACCCAACTGATACAGTTTCTGAAAATTTTGTTAATTAAAAAGCAAAGTATCAAAGTTAGTTTTCATCAACTTAATCACTGTTTCAATCTTTTCAGATGGAAGTTCTCTCAGTCTTCAAGAGGGGTAATACAATTCAAATAGTTCTTGGAATGCTATGGCATTTTCACACGTTTACGGCACAGTAATTAGAAAATAAAGCTTAACAAAATATACACGTAATTTAATAATAATTATGTATCCTACTGACATTTCACGTTAAAGTCTTGTTTGTATTTGTCTCTTGTTTCTAAGGATTCTCTCAGGCCTTGTCTATTTGTTTAACTAATGTTAAAATATTCAATACTTTATATCACATCAACTGTACTCTGAACAAATTTGATCGTCATTCTCAACAATCCAATAAGCTTCATTTTGAGGTAATTTTTTTCAAAAAGGGTGGGGGATTTGAAGTCTATTCATGGAGTTACAAAATTCTGCAGTTAATAAGCTTAGACTTTTAAGATTATCTTTATATTTTTTAATAGTCATTTTAAGTATTTTCATACAATTTACTACTAGTCTAGCTACATTTTTATGTCAAGTGAAAAGTGGAAAGACTTTCTAGTGTTTGTATCATTGTTGCGGTGTTTTTCCTTTGATGTCCACTGTGTTTTTATTTTTGATACAACATGACTAACTGTGCTCTAACAACCATGCATTATCAAGATAGAACACACCAGGGTAATGATGCAACAATTCCAATGACCCTTGACCTTACATTGATAAAGAAAAAGAATATAAACAAAGTAGCTGACTTTATGAGCAAAATACAAGCACATATAAACATAGTGAAGGTATATCTTTCCTTAGGTCTACATAAAAAATTCTAAATTTTGCACGTCAATTTTTTTTAAATCCAAAACGAAATTCACACAAGCACATCTTTATAAATGAATGTTTTCGTCTCTCATAAACTTGAAGCGTAACAAACCACACACAATGTAGTATAGGGAGCGAGGTGGATATTCCTTGTTTTCTAATTCCAACACAAATCGCTGCATCCAGTAATTTAGAGAATCGCTGTTCATCTCGGTCAAAAGTGGACATTTTCTCGTGCCGCACGCCACTCCTTAGCTTGAACGTTACGAGGATATTTTTGAGAGTCTATCAAACGCTGAATTTCATAATCGGACACTTGTACAAACCTTTCATTTTTCGTCTTCGTGTCGACCTCAGGACTGGTGAAATTAACGCCATCGTGTCTAAAATATCTCCTATATCGAAATCCATAATTGGTTCAATTTTTAGTTCCGGTAGATCAAACGTCATACTTCCCAAAGAATCTTCAACCTGCATCTAGTTTCCTATCTGATCTATGGAAATTTCCTTCATAATTTCGGTTTCCGTGTCTATAAGAATTGCGAAAGCATAAAATCACAACCGTCATCCATGGCGTTCAAAATCTGAATGGACGAGGTAGAAAGTTCAAGAAATACAGCGCGCTATACTTTTCGAATCACGTGCTCTTTTTTCATTGGTTATATAAAATGGTATGATGAAATTTTGATAGATCATGGCTAATTCGGTGCATGGGAATATGTAGTTGAATTAAGTGCTATTAACATGAATTTGATAGATCATGGGTAGCTCAATACCCGAGAACAATGATACAAAACATATAGAGTACCTTTTAACGAGTGCATCTTCAGATATCAGACTCGGGGGACAAGCCCTCTCGTCTGATATCTGAAGATACACTCGTTAAAAGGTACTCTATATATTACTTACATAATTGTTCCACATTGATTAGTATATATATATATATATGTTTTAATTACAAGATTTGCTTGTCAAGTTTTACTGATTTTTCACCCATGATATCTATTTTGAATATCAAAGTCTTTGAGACATTCTAATGGTGTATTTTTATTTTAGATCACGTGTATTGTACGTCATATGACGACCATAATGTGGAATATAGATATTTATACATACACGTAATCTACAACTGTAAGGATTAAAATTTTCCGTCCGTGTCATATTCTCTAAAATATAGGAAATTATACGCTCTAATAACTGTTCCGGTCTAATAAAAGATCTAATCACACAGACCTTTAACAACTGTTTCACGCAAGGGTCTATCAGCAATTCAAGTTGGATGGCAATATGAATAACGCAAAAGTGTCCGTTGACGAGAGAAATCCAGGTAAGCTCCTGTGTTATTTGTTGCACTTAAACATGAAATTTAGGTAAACTTGAAAGTTAAATTAATATTCATTAGTTGCATTAACAATGATTATTTAAGCCCACTTTTGCTTTTGTTACTATTTTTGAGTCCGGAATTCCCAATTTATTTATAGCACGACAGTCGATTTATTTAAATCTTATTCAACTGAATGCATTTTCATTGAAAATAAGCACGCTAGAAAAATTATCTAATTAAGCTTCTATTTATGAACACATCGACGCAAGCCACTGATTATGTTTCTCTCTATTTCCACAAACAGAATGAACAAAAAAAAACCGTGGCTTGCGACAATGTCATGAGCAGGGAGTCATTTTTTTTCCTTTTTTTTAAAGAAAGGTTTTAATTTGTATGATTTAGTAGAGAAGGTAGTATATACCTGCATAGAAATGCAAATTTTTACATACATGTTGAATGTACGTATTTAAACCACTTGACACTAATCTCTGGACATACATTAGTTTTGGTATCATATGTCTTATCATTGTAAATAAGTCGGTTTTTTAACACCGCCCCTCCCCCACGTTTTCTTCATTTTGTCATCATTCAAAATTGTATCTTCAATATTTAGATGTTTTTATTTAGATTCAAAAATACGTGGAAGAAGCATACTCTTGTTCAAAAGGGTTTTACTGAAAAGATGGGATTCCAGGTAAGAGGATTGTACAGGTAAAATGTAACCATTATTTCGTTTTGCGCAGTTCTTGCATTCGGGGGGGGGGGGGGGGGGTCATTTCTTCTGGATAAACATTTGTCATGATACATAAAACCATGGAACACATCATAATTTCTTATATTTCTTCAAAGCTATTTGAGTCAATGCCCCGTGGAAAACATCTTACTTTTTTATGTTTCATCTATCTGTAGGAGTGCTTCAGAAACATTATCATAATATAAAACATTTAATATAACATGATATAACATGTAAATTATGAATGTTATAAAATCTCTGAAAAGAGGAAATAAAGATGGAATGGAATTTAATGCAAAAACATTCCTGAATTACCGTTACGGAAGTTAAATTTTTAAAAGAGACAACTGTTTCTGTCTAATTCATTTTGTTATGTCGAAAATGCAATGGTCTAAAGTAGCTAACTTGCAACTACAATCGATGATATTAGGTTCAATGGTCACATTCAGGTAAGTTTCAGTTCTTTGTGAAATCTTATTCTGTGCATCAATTTAAAGAAAAATCGTCACGGAAGTTAATAGATCTTCAGCGACATCTTTCATTTCGTATGAAAGAAGATCCATGCATTTCCTCGCGAGAAGTGGTTTGAATTGTTTTCTTTTTATATAGAAAAAAAAACTTCTCTTTAGTATTCCTTATAATCTATTTGGGACGATTTAGCGGCTGAAAATATCATATTGAAATTGTAAATGAAAGAAGCAACATTAAGATTTCCAGTGGATTGATTGATTGATTGTATGTTGTTACGTTTCGTTCGAGAATTTTTTAAAACTCATATAGAGACGTCACCATATACCGGTGAAGGGCTTCAAATTTAGACCTTTACTTGGCACTTAGGGCCATTGAGCAGTGAGGGTTCTTTATCGTGCCAACGCCAACCCTGACACGGGGCCTCGGTGTTTAAGGTTTCATCCGAAGGACCCGCAACTTTCACTTCGAAGTGCCGAGCGCTTGGCGAAGGAACAGTTGCTACCTATTTTTTATCGACTTAGGTCAGTCGCAGCCGTGATTAGAACACACGACCTTCCGATCACGGAGCGAGATTTCCAGTGGAATACGTTTTTAAACATCATATTGTATTTATATCAAAACTTTAATTACATATATATCTCTAAATATTTACAAAACCAGGAGTGTATGTTCAGTCTTTGAGTTGAAATCGATGTTAAAAATTATAGTTAAGATATTACAACGCTAAATTTGTGAGCGACATCAAAAATTCTTAATTGGGCATGTTTTTGTAGAAGGACTGAGCAAATATATGGATTTTAAAACGTGTGATTTATTAATATCATAATCATTTTGAGTCAAGTTTAATATTATGGTTCCATAATCGAGTGACTAAACACGACAAAATTTCTTAGTATTAACTAATTTAAATTTAATGAACGTGATCGATATTGGCATCAAATGGCAAACACAAAATGAAAAGGGGTGTTTTATAAAGAAAGCATTATACACGCGCCCTGTACCCATGCGATACTAAATTTAGAACGAACTACATTCAGTGTCATTAAATCTAAAAATATATCCACTGCTATTGACTACTAAGCAAACTACATGTATAAAACAAGGTATGAGTCAAGGCATACGGGAAAAAGATGTATACAGAATGATAGACAAAACAACGTTTATCAACAATCTTTGCATGCATACATAAAAAGGCAAAATCATAGTATTACAAAACCAGCATAAAGCTACAAAATAACATGTCAAATGAGCTCCAAGAGAGTCAACACACTAAGAGCATAAAAAAAAATTACTCCTAACTTTTTATGAACAATTTTAATCTACTGGAAATTGAAGAAGTGCCATTTTTTTCTGGTGTCTTTTAAAAGAAAATTTATACTTGTACCTTTTACCGCAAAACAAACGTGACGTTTTGGAGCATGTTTATTTTTCATATGTTCTCTTAAATAAGATTTTGGACATAAACTTGTTACTAATGTCACATTAAAATGTTTTTGGTCTATCATCAGTCTTGAAAGTGCGCACCTCAAAATTTAAAGTAACCAAAACATGTCAAAACTGCTTTGCTGAATCATGAACTCTCATGTGCCTCTTTAATGCTTAATTGTCTTTAAACTTACGTTCACAAATTTCACATTTTTATCCAGGTGGGAGTTTGGCGTCTGATTGTGTAAGTAGTTGGATGCACGTGAAGTCCCGCATATCGAACAAAACATATCGTATGACTATGCGATTCATGCTGTCGCCTCTCACGAAAGCGTCTTAAAAAAATAAAACATTGAAAAATTATTCCTACATGTGCTATCACAAAGATTACAAATTCTTTTAAAGGAGACTGGACACAGATTTGAAGTTAATATTTTCTCAAATTTTCTGTATGATATCATGAATTATATGTTGCTATAGCATTTCACACGGAAATATAATGAAAGCGTGTTCAGAAACTTCTTTTATCTGGAAATTATTGAAACTACGAGTTTCGGGACGCGTTTGATTGACACATCCTTGCACTTTCATAATGTAAACTTTATCCTTAATACTTAAGAAAAGTAGAAAATTTGTTGTGTATTAATGAAAAATATTAAAACTGTAATCAGAAATTTGAGAAAGCAAAACCAAATCACCAGTACTGTCAGTCCGTGCTCAGTGGTGAGTGTAACAAATTGAACACATCTGGGAAACCTAAACATTAATAATAACAGAACCCGTGCCCTGTTTACAAAAACAGATGTTTGGTGTGATGTAAAGAAGAATGTCGTTGTCATTCATCTTCGCTAGCCAAGGCTGATACGCTACTCTCCTCATAAGCCCTTGGCATACGGTGTTAAAAAAAGTTGGGATTTTTTTCTCAAGTTGTGATTGGAGTTGATCGACATCGTTCGACCAATCAGCAATTGTTTTTTGTAAATGACGATATTTGCGTTCGGGATATATCTTGACTCTTTAATATCGGTAATGTAAAACGCAAGTAAACAATGATCCCCAAGATAACATGCCATTCTATGAATAGCTAAATGGTGTCATCCAATATCTAAAGCTACGTGCAAAATATGTGATTAAGAATCTATACTGAAGATGTAGATTTGCATTTTTACATGTTTAAATAACAAATTAACATAACTCGATTTCTTCTTGTTAGTTATTCTTTAAAAACAATAACTTTTTTAAAATACGCTTTTTATTTCTGTCGATGACGCAATCTGTGCGTACCTGGTAAGAATCATGATCACGTGACAAAAACAATCCCGTCTTTTGTCAGCACCGCATGCCAAGGGTTTATGAGGAGAGTAGCGTATCAGAAACCCTTGGCTAGCGAAGATGGTTGTCACTCAATTCCAAAAATATTCATATAAGTTCAATTTATTTAACTGTATTTATTTCTTGAATAAGCATAGAAATTTAGAATGTAAACAATGCAACTGTGTCCAGGCCCCTTTAAATCAACAATTTTATTATATCTACCTTGTTCTTTCATTAATTTATTGCAAACAGTCTGTCTATTGGCGGGTAAAATTATCGACAAGGTTTTCGGTAAATGAATAATTTTGATGATTTACTTAAATCTGACATAATATTGGACAAATTCATCACACTTTTATTGATATGCAATACAAATGCTATTTGTACAATTACATATACTATCATATAATTCTGCTTAACCCGGCCTATGAAATTCACTTTCAATATTTACAGTCCAATCATCATTATTTCTATTCCATATTGGAGACATGCCTTAAGAAAGCAGTTATCTTTCATTCTAATAAAGACACTATATTTGACATAACTTTTCCCCCTACGATGCAAAATGTGTTTTTGAAAATTTACCACTAAAACTGAAAGCATTTACCTATGATGGGAATTGTAGGACTAGTTCAATATCTTGGTAATGTTCATTGTTTTCATTGCTTCTAGAAAACTAATATTTTTGTTTCTCAACATTTACAGTTGAACCCCACTCTTCTGAATAAGAACGTAATGGATCTAACATGTTTTGTAAACCCTTAAATGTTTCTGATATGAACTATCTGTAATTCTTTGACGGAAAATTGGTTATTTTTTGTATGTGCAAAGATTAAGACCTGCCGTCATTTTTTTTTTTTTTTTTTTTTTTTTTTTTTTGAAAAAGAAACAAAAAAGTAAGATGCTACTTTTCCTGTAGACGCATGGGCAAAATTCATCATGCCTATGGTCATCCCAAAATTTATCTGTAAGATTTGCTATATATTGCTGAAATACGCTCTATTTCCATTAGTGAACTCTTCAAAATTAGAGGCGCGTTTGGTCGTCTGACTGGGACTGCATGGCGTTCCGGATAATACAAATCATGCCAATCTCAATCCAATTTTAAATGTTAGATGTATTTGTCATTCCAATTAAAGAATAGAAGAACTAAAAGACATATGTAAGAGAGCAAGAACCCTAAATTTATCATCTATTAATAAAAAAAAATACGACATTTCCGAGGCAATATGTATTGTATTTAGATGTACCATACGATAAATTGATACATACGATCAACAATATCGTTGTCAAACTTGTCATTCCTACTCTTGATGTATATAAAGTCCACAACAATAAAATATTTCATTTGCATTTTCTTAGGATTTGTTCATCGACATTCAACATATTGTTTACATGCTTATGTTACGTTTGTCCCAGAAATCCCGCGAGATTTGTACATTTTCCGACTTTTTCACAAAAGAGCGCACTAAGAAGTATAACTCTTCCATAGTGGAAATAGAACGTATTGAAATCAATTATAATTATTAATATAACAATTAAAATCAACCATATCTTTGTAAAAAGTTGACATTTGTACCCCATAAAAGAAAAAAAATCATGAATTCATTTTTAGAGAAATTGAATTTCTTTTAGTCTAGCATGCTTATTAGCATGATATGAAATTAGACGTGATATGTGATGTCTAGAAATAGCACAAGATTCTTACACTATGTATTATATAACAATTGAAGTAAGGAGAAAAACTAAAATACTGTATAAGCATAAAAAGATGCAATTTCCTCCAAATGCCCGGATACGTATAATTTTCTATCCTAAATTATATTTGTTGATCAATTTTCAATTAGAAAATGCATAGCTGGTTTTTTATTCGCATTTCCTGAAAATATATTTGAGAATTGATAATTTTTCCCTTTATGATATGGTTAATTAAAATAATGAACTTTGAAGAAATTCCATGGGTAAATTCACATTACTATGTGAAATCAGAGACATTTTTGTGAGCATTTTCAATTACTTATTTAAAGCTGATTTTCAGAACCTGGGGATCGGACTACCTTAAATATTTTATATGCTTTCGTTTTCGCTTTTCGGAAAAACCATTTGATATATGCAAAGAGTATGCTGTCAATTTGCATGTTATACCGGTATGTTTCTAGTTCTGATTAAAAGGAGCATATAAACTTTACAGTAAGATTTTACACCTAAAAAGAATAATTTGTATAAGAAATCCGGGTGATAAAGTTTGCAGTTCTTTTCCCCATTGCATGTGTTCTATATATATGACATGAGACACGTGTGATAAATGAAACACTGCAATGCAACATAAGGTAATTGAAGATTTTGATATTTTATTACATACATAACTTACACTCACAATAACTTAAATTTGTAATAATTTAAACATATTTTTCGCAATTCATTTCTTCAAGCATTTTCTTATTGTGGTGGCATTGAAGTATGAAATGTTCTTATAAAATAATGCTTAAAATGTTTACTTTTCAAGGCTTTGAATATTTCTGATGGCTGATGCTTATAGTTCGCTACAATCATCAACATCCAGTCTTAAATCATCACTTCAAGAAACTCCCCCTGGTAACCCTAACTTTGTTAACTTGGACGATAAATATAGATGTGTTGTGTGTACAGGAGTTGTTCGGGAGGCAGTACAGACACCGTGTGGACACAGAGCTTGTGAACAATGCATTTCTCAGTTACTTCAAGGGAATCCAAAACGTATCAAGTGCCCCGCCGGAGAAGATTCGTGTTCCTTTTTAGAATTAAGCGAGGTTTGGCAATTTCGATATCATTCAGGATGTAAACTTTTTTAAGTTCTTAGTACTTTTCCTATATTGTTTTTTCATACAATATCATATCTATTTTCATTTTTACATGTAGGATATGGGATCAATCTTTTTAAGTTCTTAGTACTTTTCCTATATGGTTTTTATCATACAAAGCCATATCTATTTTCCTATAATGAGATCAATCTTTTTAAGTTCTTAGTACTATTCTTTTTTTTTTTATTTCTGATAAAATGCGGGTCATATACATTTTTGGTACAATTTGAAGGAAGAGCTTTCTTACAAAAAATGTTGAATCAGAAAAAAACATTTAATCGACATTTTAGAATTGTATTCTATATAAGGAGTAGCTGTGCCTAATACAACTAATTCTTTTACCACAAAGCTATCAGATTTCTTTTATAATTTGATGGTGTATATAAAATAATAGATTCACAGAGACTCAGGAGCTCGGAGGGAGGTCCGCCTGCTGCTTGTGTTTTGTACATTCAAAATAGAGGGATGTGAAAAAGTATTGCAATGGAGAGATTTACAGGTATAACAAATTATGGTATAAAGTGATTATTTTTGCAGAGGGAGGGGGATAGGTGGGATGGTGGGTTCACTTGGTTAAACAATGAGCCTAGTCTAACGGTTTTACTTGAACTTATAATTACTCGTACAAAATGCTCGAATACTAGTATTCAAGTCGCTGTATACCAGTACTTGAATTAAGGAATGGTTTTGCAACCCAATAAACTGCAACATTCAAACAATTCCTGTAAATTACAATTCTAATCGCTAGTAGCTATTCAATATATCAGGTGACTGCTAAAACTATATAGCAGACTGTAAAGAATTTACACTAAAAGTCATTCAAATTTTACCATATGACACATTAATGACGTAACTATTCTACCATTTTTTTGTAATTATTTGTGTGTTAAAAATATTTTTGGAAAAAAAAAACTTTTTTGTATGACATTCAATATCATATTTTCAATATGTTGCAGGACCACGAAGTAGTATGTGTCTTCAGACCCATCAAATGCAAATTTTCCTCTGAAGGATGTGACGTCATCATAATAAAGAAAGAGATAGATACTCATCAGAAGAACTGTCCCTATCGACCGGAAGCATGTACATATTGCATGCAAAAAATACAGCATCACTTTATACAGGTATCATTAATCCCCTTTTATTCTAAAAGTGTCCTGTAATCATACCATTTGAAGCAGGTGTTCTGTACATTGTGGTCATGATTTCAGGAACACAAGGAGAAGATATGCCCTCAGTATATAATTCCATGTCCGTACAACTGTGGAACAGATCCAGCTCCCAGATTCCTGGTAGAGTAATACAAGTTATAAGTGCAAATTGTATCGAACTTAAAACATGTAACACAGATTATTTTTTAATGTTAGCTCAATCAAGTAGATGCATGTTTCAAAAATGAAATACTATAGTATATTAAGCATTATCAAAAAAAAAAAAAAAAAGGACTTATGAAAGAAAAAACATAGCATTCTGATTTTAACATAGAAAACAAATTCAATTTGACATTCAGGAACTATTTGGGTTTTTTTTTAGCGCTAATAGATATTTTTAAAAAAAATCGTGCCTATTTAGAATATGCCTGTTTATCATATAAGCTAACTAACCTTTTACCTAGTGGCGAATTTTGTTGTATTTTCATTTCAAGGTATGACTTGTAAACATTCTTTGGGGGGGGGGGATTTGCAAAATATATTCAAAAAATATTTTTTTACCTTATGATAGGAAATGTATTTCTAGTATTTTTTGTTTAGATGCAACAACATATCAGCAGTGAATGTCCTCGCCGGCCACTTAAATGTAAATACCACAGCATTGGATGTGAATTTACTGTAAGTTTCTCTTAGTCTACAAATTATTTCAATAATATTAAGTACAGTCTATAATCCCAAATCACATGTTAGGTTCTGGTATTAAACATGCAAATTTATATCAAAATTTAAAATAAAGGGGTCGAAGGACGAAATAGATAGGCATATACAGACAGGAACGGATCGCCATTTAGAGCTCTCTGTAATACAGAACACAGAATCCGGACTGGATGGACTACGTGTGAGGGAAATGATGCAGGTTTGTTTGTATACTTCAGGCTGATTATTTGAGCTGATAATTATGCATTGCTTAATCTCCTGTCCCGAATGAATTATATAGTTTCAACAAATATGCTTCTTTTTATTTAGATGTTCCTGTTTTCAATAAAATTTGTTATATTTTGTTTCTACATTAAAAAAAAAGTTTTAGTGGGTTTTTTTATTTGCAAAGTGTGGACGCTGTTAATAAGTTACAGAAGTTTTTTCCCCAATTATTCCAACTTGCACTTTTAGGTGAATGAAGATTTGAAAGAGTACGAAAAAGATATTGTTTGATATATCGATTTTTATTTGATTACATTATGTTATGTTGTTGCCGATTTTAATTAATTTAGATATGTTATATTAAGAGACAATTTGTGGTAATTTCAATAGATACATGTTAATCAAAATTTGATTTCCTTAATCGATATTTAATTTGAATACCCGTAATCTAGTACCGAAAAGAGACCTTTGTTTTATTCAAACAGCTCCTCATATTTAAATTTTATTTTTCTGTGAATAAAACATAGTATAAGTACAAGTATAATGAAGTCAACATACTTATTTCTTCACAATTCTTAAAAGTTTTAATGAATGTTTTTCTACAAATGACAAAAATTGTATTTAAACTATTAAAATGTAGATTACATATATTTTAGATCAATCAAATGTTTCCAATTTCCAAATAAAAAAGTGTTATTGTCATTCAATACAGTTTGTTAAGCGAAAACTCATGTGAGACAACTTAATGCATCATAACGTAGTCGCATAAAATTATACGATTTGTCAACAAAGAATCTTATATGCTAAAGTTGAATGCTCGTTTGCTCGCTTGCTTTTTTTTTTTATCATATCGACAAAGCTTCACTAAGAAAATGGTTCTATTTATGTTTAAATATTTCAAAATATTAATAGGAAATGGAAGGTAAAATAATTGACCTTCAACATTCAATCACAAGCAATTCCAAACTCTTTGAAGACCTGAAGGAAGGGGTTGATACAATGAAAAAAGCTATGAAAGATGTTAAGGTATGCTATAATCAACTGTTGGAATAAAATGCAACAGTTAAAAACAAATTTAAAAAAAAACATAATGTAGCTTTCGCTTAGAAAGGACAGAATTAAATAGTAATCTTTGCTACCTATATGGGATACCTTGTATAATTCTGTGTTTTTGAACAACTTTCTAACACTAGCTGCCAATGTTTAAGAGGATATAATTTCAATTCTAAAGCTAAAAGTTGTTGCCCAAACCGAAAGGCTCATAACAGTAGAGAGAAAGATTGAAAACCTTGCAGACAAAGAAGCACAAGACAAATTATCGAGAGACATGCTTATGATGAAAGCAACACAAAACACGATTGGTGAACGAGTCACTCAGTTAGAGAGAGCTGGACCTATTGGCGGATCATACGGAACGAATGGTTGGTTGAAAAGAATACTTCCAATATCAAAACCACCATTAACCCCAGATATACATTTCCAGATAAAACTATATCATCATTCCTGAAACTCTTATTTGAAGATGCAACAGAAATTGAGCAGCTATATAATCTCAGTAATTGAATACATATTTACTGAAAGTATTAACAGAAAATAAACAATTCAACACCATTTAGTGTTTGTTGTTTATGAAAATGGAGTCTGAATATCAACTTATTTCGCACTTATCTCACAAGCGGTAAAGTAAGAGGGGAATTTTTCTCGATCTTTTTGGGGTCGCGGAATAAACTAGGCTAAGTCAGATCTTGGGGACTGGATCTTTGAAAGATAGCCAGTATCCGAGTTTCTGAGTCAGGTGAAAAATCCTTTTTGTTACAAAGGTCTACATTGAAATTTGTTAAAAAAAAAATCGTCTCACTTCTATAAGTTTGAGCTTGAGATCAGGGCATACACGATACATTCCTTCCAATTTTACCGTTGAATAAAGTGTACCGTTACACCAGAAAATTTCGAAAATATCAATCAAAGATAGTGCAATGTTTTTTTCAAAAAAGTTGCAAGGCAAGTGATAATTAGTCGGACAATTTGATTATCATTATTTTCATTTACACCAACAAGAAGAAAAAAATAGATAAATTATAGTAAATGTTTTCTATGTAGATAGAGTTTTTAATTGAACCTGAACAGAGGAATTGTATTGTTACGCCTAATCTGTAGAATTAGACTATGACAAAGACATGTTTACCTCTTAGATCACTTTTTTGACCTCCAGCATTTTATTGGTAGAGAACAGTCACTTTACATAATTTTGAATAACAACAAGATTTGAAGGAATGTATAATAAATTTGGTATTCAGATCCAAACCATGATTTGAGCAAATGTTTGAATTTTCTAATAAAGAGCAAAGAAAAGTAAGTATGGGTTTGCATTTATAGTAACACTCAATTTGAAGTTCAATTACTTTATGATTGCAGGAAAGTTAAAGAAAAAAAAAACGTTGTATATAATAATGTTATATAATAATGTTTTCCCCTTATTGCTAATCATACATGTTTACATTTCCCAAGAAAACTGGCTTGTAATTTTAGAATTTTAAAATGACTTTCTTTCTTACATTTTAAGAAATGTCATCAGAATCAATCCAGCAGCACGAACGTCAGCTGGGCTTAATGGACCTAAGACTGGCGGAATTGGACTTACGATTCCAGGTCTTAGAGACTGCAAGCTACAATGGAATTCTGATGTGGAAAATTCGGGACTACAAACGAAGAAAGGAAGACGCAAAGTCAGGAAGAACGATTTCTCTGTACAGTCAACCTTTCTATACTGGCAGATTCGGATATAAAATGTGTGCACGGGTCTATTTGAATGGGGACGGGGTAGGAAAAGGTACTCACCTTTCTTTGTTCTTCGTTGTCCAAAGAGGAGAATACGATGCTTTATTGCCGTGGCCGTTCAAACAGAAAGTCACTTTGATGCTTTTGGATCAAGACAATGGAACAAGACACTTGGCAGATTCCTTTAGACCAGACGTATCAAGCTCCAGTTTCAAGCGTCCCACAACGGAGATGAATGTTGCCTCTGGATGTCCATTATTTGTAAGTCACTCCGTGCTCGAGACACCCACATTTCTTCGAGATGATACGATCTTCATTAAGGTGATGGTCGACATAGAAGGTCTAAAGCAACACTAGAAATATTTTGATGTTGTGCAACTGCTTCAACATGATCACCATTTGCTTTCGGATGTTGAATCAGATGTAAACGTCAGAGTACCCCTGGATTAAGTTGGATAAAATAATACTAGTATATACCACACCGTGATCTGTCGATAAAAGAGAGTGATGAAGAACATCGTTATTGTCTGAAAGAGGTATTTTGTGATTGTTTTACATAAAGCATGCATATATATCACATGCATGGATATTTCTACTTCTGTATTCTTCTCTGTGTACAATAAGGGATGTTTATCCTACTGTTGTAATCCTTTCTTTTGATCATATGTTCTTTGTGCACATTGCAGTATATCTGCTCTCCTCACTCTGTTGGTCTATTACAAGTTAATTTTTCCTTGTAGATATGTTCTTGCTTGCCTCGAAGGTGTCTTATGTTAATGGATGGAAATTTGGAATATTTGAAATTTAATTCATGTGTTTAATCCGTCTATTCTTTCTCATGTTAATTTGTAGGTATTCCATACAATATGTTTCATTCAGCTTTCACGTTCATGTATTTGTATTGTGACTTAAAGAACATCAGAATTAAAGGTATATTGAAGTTTCAATGCATCCGAGTTAAAGGTGAAGAAATGGTTCAATGTTTCCGAGTGAGTGGTATATCCTTGTTTCAATGCATCCGAGTGAATGGTTTATCCATGGCTTAATGCTTCTGTGTGAGTGGTGTATCGATGGTTCATTCATCCAAGTAGGTGGTATATCCATGGTTCAATGTATCTGAGTGAATGGTATATCCATGGTTTAATGCATCTGTGTGAGTGGTGTATTTATGGTTCAGTTCATCCGAGTAGGTGGTATATCCATGGTTCAATGTATCTGAGTGAATGGTATATGCATGGTTTAATGTATCAGAGTGAGTGATGTATCCTTGTTTCAATGTATAAGGGTAAGTCGTGTATTCATGGTTTAATTTATCCAAGTGAGTGGTATATTCATGGTTAAATGTAAAAGAGTGAGTGATGTATCCATGGTTCAATTCATCCAAGTAAGAAGTATATCCATAGTTCAGTGTATCTGAGTGAATGGTATATCCATTTTTTTAATGTATCAAAGTGAGTGGTGTATCCATGATTCAATGCATCTTAGTGAGTGGTTTATCCATGGTTCAGTGTTTCTGAGTGGTGATGTATCCTTATTTCAATGCATCTAAGTGAGTGAAGTATCCATGATTCAGTGCATCTTAGTGAGTAGTATACTTTATCCGTGCTTCAATGTATTACTGGGGTTCTATTTGGAGAAAATTTTTAAATAAGCAGATTTTTTCATATTATTTAGACAAATTATCTACAAAGTTATAGTGTATAAAATATATATAAATTTTTATGAAAGTAAAACTCCATCTTCATAATACAAGAGTGTCTACAATAAGGAGTTTTACTTTCATAAAAATAAATAGTCCTGTGTAGATATATCACCTTTAATGAGATGCAGTTTGAATTGGATTGGGGACTTTATTTTACTGACAACCATTTTGCATTTCTATGAGGTAATTTATTTACTATTTAACCCCTTAAATATTTATTAATTAAATGTTTTTAAATATGTTTTTGTAATCAAAATTCAGTTACTAAAACTATGATGGGCAAGAATGATATTTCATGGGAAAAGCCTACATTTATAATCGGATTTCAGAAAAGGAAGACTGAATATAGCTGTTAAGCGTATCATAATTGTACATTTTGTATCTTCCAATCTGAAACATCGTTTAGCTGCAGAATTGTAACTCTCTAGTTGAGGAAATTCGGGCAGATAAACCAGAGAGCTACAGCACACGTTGTAAAGCCGCCGCTTTTTTATCGCTCGCTTCGAGTTTTATTTCTTGAATTTTATGCTTTTCCCCGCTTTAAAAATGATATCCAATAATTAAGAATTTAATTTGCACTTATTCTTGATACTTTATTTACTTTTCAACGGTCCTAAACATCCCTTAATGGTTGTGGAATGTCGGATAAAAAAATTCCCATTCCGACGCCCATGTTGGCGGTCGTGAAAAAAAGTCTTTCAAAGAACATACACTTGCCGAGAAAATGTGAATAAAATATATAAAAAAATTCAGGAGGTTTAAATATCTTATATATTGTCTATAATGAAGACAATATGTATGTAAAAAAGAAATGATATAAATAAAACTCGGGCGTGTTATTTCATGACGTCACCAACATGGACGTCGGAATGCATTTTTTTTAAACTAATACTAGTACTCCAAAACCACATACGGTTATTGAAAGGTAAATAAAGTATCAGTAATATGAGTAAAATATATACTTTATATCGGATACCATTCAATAAACACAAGTACATTAAATGCCCTACTATAATTGATCGTAGATAACATTTTTTATCTTTTGACTTATTTAATATCTAATAATAACTGCAAATAAGACATTTCCATGGGCAGCTATGAAATTGGACGTCAAAGGAAAATAATGTTCCTTGCCTTTTAATATCATCAATGCATGTCAGTACCATCCTTATCTCCTCCGGTAAATCAGAAATATGCTACTTAAGTGGTGGATGGTTTAAAAAAAAATTAAAATAGAAAACTCCATTCCAGGAGAATAGGTGGATAAATTCCTTCAATACCAAAGAGCATACGAAGGCCTTCAGAAAAAGATCTGTCATGTCCATACTATATACATGTAAAATACTTTTTTTGAGTATTAGACTTTTTTAGGCCATGAAGATAAAATTGTGAAATAATTATCTTGAGTCCTATATAGAGATTTTGGGTAAAATGATCAAATAGAATACATATGGTTTACTTGCTTGATGTGTTGAGTCCGTATGTTGTTATCTGTTTGGTCAAAAATGAAGATCCCAAAAAAGAGTGATGCTGAACATTCCATCACTGCAATAATTATATCAAGATTGAATTCAAAACCAGTAGTAGGGGTTATCATTCTTATATACGTTAGTTTAAAAGGTTCATCTGTATTTTTTCTTAGCTCATTGGGTCTTGTGTTTGGTTGTCTCTCCAACAATGATATTTCTTGTCTAAGAGTAAAATTATACTTTATCATGATTATACACCCGCCTGTATTTGAGTTCTGTTTTACTTGGTATAGTACACGTGATATTTAGTTTTTGTGGGAATGTTATCTGGTAAAAACTTTGGTAATGACCGGAAACAATCATCTAACATCTAAATGTCTGACTTGTTAAAATAAAAATAAGCAGCAATAAGATTCTGGATAGATTGTTTGCGTCTCGCAAATGTTGTACCAGAAATATCCCATATTGTTTTGAATTGTTTGATGTTTGAGGGAGGGAGGTACATTTTTTTAGTTCATGGCCTTGTGTGTATCAATCCATTTTGATATGATGAGTGCTATAAGGAGGAGAGGAGCTAGGAGATGAAACGATTTTGCAAAGGAATGACACGCATTTCGTACCGATGTCTATAAGACACATGTTGTCTCTTGAGAACAATAGCATGAAGAACACAAGTTACACGGAATATTAAGCAAATCTCGTCAAATTCCATATTCAATCGGTAACATCTTTAGATCTAGATCTACATGTATATGTTCGAGACAAGACAGAGTTCAGATTGTCAACCAAAAAATCGGAATAAAACTGGAATCAATTATAGGAAAAAATACCATGAAATACTTTTAGTTAATTAAGAGATTTCCCATCTAAATTGCAAAATGTGCGTTTTGACAAAAAGTATCTTGATGATTATTATTATTTTTATTTGATTCGTGTGTGTTTGTTAAATTTCCTAAGATACACGTATGTCACATATGACGGTAAGTTTAATCCAGAGAAACAGAATCTGAAAAAAAGAGCCAGTAAAGAGGGGGCCAATGTTTCTTATAAGGATTTTTCCAGTATTGATGCAAACGCTGTGATTTAGGTTACTTTTTACTGTAATGTTTAAAAACCATGATCCTTTTTTACATGTATGACACACTATTTACAAGGCTTAGTGACATTTCTGCTGGTTAACAATTTTTTTTATTATTATGACCGCTGACTGCGTTACGCAGGTGACCGCTTAATAGAGTTACATTACATAGGAAAATTCATTGGGAGGAAATAAAATGACCGCATAGGACAGGTGACCGCTGGATAAAGGTGACCGCTATGACAAGCTTGACTGTATTTATGTAATAAAATTTTATTATAATTAGTATATGTTTATAATGAAATTTTCGACAATATTAAATACGAGAGAGAGAGAGAAAGAGCTTTAAATTATCTGAGTTTGTAAAGACGAAAAATCTTCAATGAATCATTGAAAGAATTTAATTTTTGGTTTTCTACTATTTTTGTTTGTTTTAAGAAGGTGAATTATTCTGAATTATACAGAATACCGATATTCAATAGTTTGAAGAACATGTATGTATTAATTCTTATATCTTTGAAGATGTCTGATACAAGTTAACATTATATTATACAAATGAACATGACAAAATTATATTTTATATGCACAATGATATAGTAGTAATTTGTATAACACTGATAAATATAAATAGCCATAAAACTTAAAATATTGTGATATCACACTTTGTAAACAAAGTTTTATAGCCTATTTGCTTTCGCTATATTCTTTTTCCATGATTGCAGCTTTTAAAAGTGATGAGCATTTCTCAAATATTTACGTTTTCTTTATCTTTAATAAATAAATAATTCTAATATTTTGGTGAAATGATGTTCATGAAGGGTATTCTGATTATTTGATGATTAATTTTAATACAAATGTATACTACCATTCTATAAACACAATATGCATGCAATATGACTTTATATAATATGTAATTATGTATGTGCATATAATATATGCGTGTTTTTTTTTTTTTTTTTTTTTTTGTTTTCATTGTATTATTTACACCACATAAAAATATTTCTTTTGACATTGCACATGGAAAAAATGAGTTTTTTACTCTTTAAAAAAATCTATATTCCCCCTCCCAAAAAATGGTTCTTGACGGCCACACGAATTTCTCTGGATGAAATATATGGAGATGACGAACAGTATTCAAGCTCAAAAGTCCATTAAACATTACAAAATAGGAGCAGAGCAAACACAGACCTCCAAAACATCAGAGGTGGGATCAGGTGCCATGGAGGAGTGAGCATCCCCTGCCCATCGGTCACACCCGCCGTGTGCTCCTTGTCATGATCGGGAAATAACGGAAAAATTCGTCGACAATTCAGTGTGTAAATAATGGTCTAACAATTAGTATGAAAAACTCAGCATTTGACTCAATGATAAATTGTATTTGCTGACAAG